GTTTTTATTAAAAAAATTAAACTTTTTAATAAAAACACAGGCAAATTTGCCTGTGTTACAATTTAAGGGATAGTATATACAAACAGTATATTATGCATTGATTTACCTGTTACCAATACACCATGTTGATATCGGTAATAGCTAGGTAAATCCTTGTATGAGCCTGTTTTAAATGCATAGATTATTAGTGCATAATTACTATTAGCAATAGCAGATATCAACAATGTATATACGTATGTATGTAAAATATAGCAATAATGATAAAATTTTTTACACCTTTACTCTTAGTTTAATGATAAGAATGAAATACAGTATATTTCTAACAATCATGAGATAAATAAAGTTATTTTAACTGCTTTAAAAGACTTAGATGATACATTTTTTGTTGAACATTCAAATTCTGAAAAAACTAATTCTGTATTAAATAATGACAATAACAAAGAAATTCTTGATATTAATTTAGATAGATTAAATAAATTTGAATTTATAGAAGTTTCTGATAATTATATAAAAGATGTAATTTGAAATTAACAGTTAAAAAACTTTTTGAAAATAAAAAATGTTCATGTTCTAAACAAACCTGTTCGATCAAATCGGTTATGAGTGGTTTCTCACGCATCAGGAAAGTTTGGATAGAAACATGTGAGATATGGTTATTAAAGAATAGTTAATAGCTTTTCAAGAAAATGAAAATACAAAAAAAGTTTCTAAACATAATAGAAAATATTCATGTTTTCTTTATTTTTATAATAATAATAATCCAATTTGTCATGATACATACTTGGCTCTTGTAGGGTTAGACATAAATATCTGAAAACTATCATACAGCATTTATGAGAACATGGTCTTGAAGAATGTATATATAGCAATACAGGTAGAACTCCAAAAAACATGAATCATATTAAAGTAAATTATAATATAGCATGCGATATATTTCAGTTTTTAAAAAACTATTCTGATATTAATGGTATGCCCTCACCTGGATGACATTTTAAAGAAATCCCTATGCCAATTGTGTTTCTTCTTAATAGTTATAGCTATGCTTCTGTATATGTGCAGGTCTCTAAAGATAAGTATAGAGAAAGTGTTCATGTTATTGCTGAATCAACTTTTACTAATATCTGAAAAGCTTTAATACCCTCACTTCAATTTATGTTCCCGAAATCTGATTTGTGTGAAATTTGTAAGACAATGAAAATGGATATTCAATATACTACATCATATAAAAGAAATTAGAACTTACTAAAAATTATTTGGCACATTTAAGTCATGTACAAAGATAGCAAATGAAATCAAATTATAGTTGAATCTCAAGTATCATTCAAAACTTTTGAAGGTATTGCTCATATTGCATAATACTGGGCCCAAAATATACAAATACCTTATTCACCGCAACAAGTAGGATCCTTATATTTCAAAGGCTTCAAAAAATACATTTATTTGGTATTTGTAATACTAGTAATTTTCCTCATATATGTTGTACCTCAGATCGATTCTTGCGTCAGATCTAATCTGGCGCACGTCAGATGCCAATTTCCAGGTGATGCACGTCACCTGCCAATTGGTCATCTGACGTGCGTGAGTTGTAATCTGACGCAAGATCATCAAAATCAAAAAAAACGTTTCTTTCAACGAAAATGTAATAACGTAATTATGTAATAACGTCATTATGTAATAACGTAATTATGAGCAAGGGTA